AAACCAGGGCTAAACCAGGTCTAAACCAGGAATAAACCAGGTCTAAACCAGGACTAAACCAGGACTAAAATGAGGACTAAAACCAGGACTAAACCAGGGCTAAACCAGGACTAAATCAGGTTTAAACCAGGACTAAACCAGGACTAAACCAGGTCTAAACCAGGTCTGAACCAGGACTAAAATAGATCTAAACCAGGACTGATGAGGACTGAACCAAAACTGAACCAGGACTAAAATCAGGTTTAAACCAGGACTAAACCAGGTTTAAACCAGGACTAAACCAGGTCTAAACCAGGTCTAAACCAGATCTAAACCAGGACTAAACCAGGTCTAAACCAGGTCTAAACCAGGACTAAACCAGGAATAAACCAGGACTAAAATCACAACAAAAAACAGGACTAAACGAGGACTAAACCAGGTCTAAACTAGGACTAAACCAGGTCTAAACCAGGAAAAAACCAGGAATAAAATCACAACAAAAAACAGGACTAAACCAGGGCTAAAACCAGGATTAAATTAGGTCTAAACCAGGTCTAAACCAGGACTAAAATTTGTACTAATCCAGGATTAAAACCAGGTCTAAAATCAGAACTAAAACCAGGTCTAAACTAAGACTAAAACCAGGTCTAAAGTAGGAGTAAAACCACGTCTAAAATCAGGCCTAAACCGGCCAAAAAAAACAATTACCTAATGACTCTATTAATTGGAACCTTGTTAGTGTCCCAGGACTCATAAAGACGTGGACTAAACCAGGTCTAAAATCAGGTCTAAACCAGGTCTAAACCAGAACTAAACCAGGACTAAACCAGGTCTAAACCAAGACTAAAACCAGGTCTAAACCAGGACTAAACCAGATCTAAAAGCTGTACTAATCCAGGTTTAAAACCATGTCTAAATCAGGTCTAAACCAGCCAAAAAAAATCAATTACCTAATGACTGTTAATTGGGACCTTGTTAGTGTCTCAGGACTCATAAAGATGTGACTTTGCCCCGCCCCCTGGTGTTTTGGGAGCTCTGTGATTGGCTGAGATGGTTATCAGTCTCACCCAGCCTCAGCACCAGCTCTATCTCTCTCCTCCTCTTCTCCTCCTCCTCCTCTTCTCTCTCCACAAAACCGTTTAATCAATACGTTCCCACCTCCACGCTGATGATGGGAACGTCTCGGAAGAGCGTTCAGACGGACATCCACAAAGGTTATCTGGAAAAACATCAGGCGGTGAATGAAAAGAGGCGTTTCATTTGCAGCGTGACGACGAGGAGGCGCTGATAAAGACGAGTTCACACGTTTTTACACAGACACTAAACAAGATACTGCACTAATTAGACAAGAGATATTATTCGTTGCGTTGTCAAAGGTTAGAAAAAAAAAATTTATTCATTTAATTTTTTTATTCAATTGTGAAACTGAAGTTGGACAACAAATTTCACAAAATATAATGATTGTAATGAAAAATCTTGCCTATTTACACTGCAAAAAAAACAATCTAGTCAAGTTAAGATGACCTGAATTAAGAAAGTTTTATCACAATTTGAGTAAATTTCACTTGACAAGTAAAATATCTGCCAGTGGAACAAGACTTTTGTACTTAAATATGAAAATACAACTTACTACGCTTAAAATAAGAAAAACAACAACTTTTTGCACTTAAAATAAGAAACAAAATCAAATGTTGCTTGAATTAAGAAAAACATACTTATTCCATTGGTAGATAATGTTATTTGTCAAGTTAAATCGACTCAAATAAAGTAAAATATTTTTAATTTAAATCATTTTAACTTAACTTTTTTCCAGTACAAGGTGTCCCAAAAAAATCATTATTTGGATAAAGTTCACCAACTGACAAAGTCCCATCATAAACTTAAGATGTTCAACACCTAAACTGTTCAATTTCATTGAGCTAGACTTAAAAAATTTCAAGATAATTGCTTTTAAAATGATGTCAAATCTTTTTGGGACACCCTGTATGTATGTATATGTATGTATGTATGTATGTGTATGTGTATGTATGTATGTGTGTATGTATGTACATGTATGTATGTATGTATGTATGTATGTATGTATATGTATGTATGTATGTATGTATACATACGTATGTATGTATGTATGCATATGTATGTATTATGGATGTAACGATATCCAAATCTCTCGGTGCGATATTTTCACAATATGCATCTCATGGTACAATATTTATTGATATTTTATAGAGGCTAACAAAACTGTGAAAATGTGACTTTTTCCTTGACTAGACGTTGTTTCAGTCATAATCAAAAGAAGCTTTAAAAATGCTTAATTGTAGTTCTTTGTACTGACACAGAGCAAAGGATCATGGTCCATGTATTTCTCTCAGTTTTTCAGCTGTTCCTGCACCATAACAATGAATTTAAGCAAAGAAACTTATAATTCGATATATTGTGATGGTCCACAATATTGTTGAGAATTTTGAAGATATGATATCACAATATAATTTTTGACATGATCAAATTTCAACTACTACCATATTTCTGTGACAATTATTAAAGATTTTTGCACCATAACTTTCCCAATACCAGAAGCCGATATTTATTTATCTATATCACAATATTTCTGTTATTGTTACATCCCTAACATGTATGTATGTATGTATGTATAAATAAATAAATAAATAGATAGGTCTAAACCAGGTCTAAAACCAGGACTAAACCATGACTAAACCAGGTCTAAACCAGGTCTAAACTAGGCCTAAAACCAGGACTAAACCAGGTCTAAATCAGGACTAATCCAAGACTAAAACCAGCACTAAACCAGGACTAAACAAGGTCTAAACCAGGTCTAAACAATATGACTCCTAACAGTAGGTGGACATAATTTAAGGCAGCAGTGATCTCATATAAAATAATTTCTCTAACAGTAATATTTTTAATCTGGTTAAGTAAAAACTGGACTTTTTATTTTCTTTTAGCAGATAAAACTTCTCATGTTAAGATATTCTAGTCTTTGCTTGGGCTCAACAGACAATTTGAAGAGAACAAACACGAATTTTCAGGATGTGGTTGGTTCATTCGTGTCATTTTAAAAAACATGACAATATCAAGTAATCCAAAGTATTCAGATTATGTTACTCACTTTAAGTAATTTAATGGATTATGTTACAAACTACATTCTGGACAGTGTTGGGAAGGTGACTTTTAAAATGTATTCCCCTACAGATTACAGATTACATACACCAAAATGTAGTTTGTAACGTAATCCATTAAATTACTTAAAGTGAGTAATGTAATCTGAATACTTTGGATTACTTGATTTGCTGTGAAATCATAACCTAAGATGTCTGCTAAAGAAAAATAGGCTCAGACTTTACTTAACCAAATTAAAAATATTATTGATAGAAGAGGAGGAGACTCTTCCACACAGCAGGATTTAGTCCTGTTTTAGTCCAGTTTTAGACCTGGTTTAGACCTGGTTTAGTCATGGTTTAGACCTGGTTTAGACCTGGTTTAGTCATGGTTTAGTCATGGTTTAGACCTGGTTTTAGACTGTTTAGTCCTGGTTTAGACCTGGTTTAGACCTGGTTTTAGACCTGGTTTAGACCTGGTTTAGACCTGGTTTAGACCTGGTTTAGACCTGGTTTAGTCATGGTTTAGACCTGGTTTAGACCTGGTTTAGTCCTGTTTTAGTCATGGTTTAGTCATGGTTTAGACCTGGTTTTAGACCTGGTTTAGACCTGGTTTAGACCTGGTTTAGACCTGGTTTAGACCTGGTTTAGACCTGGGTTTAGACCTGGTTTAGACCTGGTTTAGACCTGGTTTAGTCATGGTTTAGACCTGGTTTAGACCTGGTTTAGTCATGGTTTAGACCTGGTTTTAGACCTGGTTTAGACCTGGTTTAGTCCTGGTTTTAGACCTGGTTTAGTCCTAGTTTTAGACCTGTTTTAGACCTGGTTTAGTCATGGTTTAATCCTGGTTTTAGACCTGGTTTAGTCCTAGTTTTAGACCTGGTTTAGACCTGGTTTTAGACCTGGTTTAGTCCTAGTTTTAGACCTGGTTTAGACCTGGTTTAGTCATGGTTTAGACCTGGTTTAGTGATGATTTAGACCTGGTTTAGACCTGGTTTAGTCATGGTTTAGTCCTGGTTTTAGACCTGGTTTAAACCTGGTTTAGTCCTGGTTTTAGACCTGGTTTAGTCCTAGTTTTAGACCTGGTTTAGTCATGGTTTAGTCCTGGTTTAGTTTTAGTCATGGTTTAGACCTGGTTTAGTCCTGGTTTAGACCTGGTTTAGTCCTGGTTTAGACCTGGTTTAGTCCTGGTTTAGACCTGGTTTAGACCTGGTTTAGTCCTGGTTTAGACCTGGTTTTAGACCTGGTTTAGTCCTAGTTTTAGACCTGGTTTAGTCCTGGTTTAGACCTGGTTTAGTCATGGTTTAGTCATGGTTTAGACCTGGTTTAGTCCTGGTTTTAGTCCTGGTTTAGACCTGGTTTAGTCATGGTTTAGTCATGGTTTAGTCCTGGTTTAGACCTGGTTTAGACCTGGTTTAGACCTGGTTTTAGTCCTGGTTTAGCCCAAAATGTGAAAACTGGAAAATACCTCTGTGTAATCCATTTATTCCAACAAAGTAACTGTAATCCAATTACCACTCACTGAAACAGTAACTGTAACTGAATACAGTTACTCCGGTACATGTAATCTATTACTCCCCAACACTAATTTTGGGGTATGTAATCTGTAATCTGTCGGGGAATACATTTAAAAAAATAACCTTCCCAACACTGAAAACACTTTAAAGTTATCAAAAAGTGTGTCAGAGTTAGTTTTATTAGACCCAGAACAAACCGGAAGAGGCCGAGACGTGTCTGCGTGAGGCCGGGTTTAGGCGCGTGTTTTCCGGCGTGTCTGCTCGTGAAGTGTCGTGACCGGACAGCGGAGAAGCTCGGACCCCGGAAACACGACTCCCCCCGGCGGCTGGACGACACCTCAGACCGGGGGGTGGTCCGTGGGCGTGGGTCTGGTCTGGAGACGTGACAGCGGGGCACGGCGGGGGGGTTAACCCGGGTTTGTGATGTGTTTTTCGGTCCCCGGGGAGTCGCTTCTCTCCGCCTCGTCCGTCTGTCTCCAAATAACCGCGAACTGTCACGTTTTTTATAGCGTCTCCATGGAAACGAGGCGTCGCTACGTAAGGGGGACGCTGCGTGAGGGTATATAAAGCGCGGAGGTCCGAGGACAGGACATAAACAAAGTGCACGGACCGGAGGAAACTGAGCTAAAAGCGTGGATAAAATCATGCTGCACGGAGAAACACATTACCTGAGCGACTTCAACAGGTATGACACTACTTATAACTCAAAATGTCACGCTAAATTGTTTTTTTGTGATGTTTAATTGTTATTTTTTATGCTTAGCTTGCCTTAATTTACTGTAATTACTGTAAGGTGATCAGACAGTCCCAGCAGATTTATCCAAAACCTGTGATTTGTCCCAGTTTTATACAAGAAATGTCCCAGGTGTCCCTATTTTTATCCAATTTGACACCTGCTAACAGTAAAAAGAGGCATAAATTGTCATTTGTTTAAGTAAAATACAGAAAAGCTGCTTAAAAAATGACCAAAACACAAAGAAAATGTGACTATACAGGTACTAAACCAGGACTAAACAAGGTACTAGATCAGGTACTAGACCAGGTACTAGACCAGGTACTAGACAGGTACTAGACCAGGTACTAGACTGGGACTAAACCAGGTACTAGACTGGGAGTAAACCAGGCAGGTACTAGATTGGGACTAAAGCAGGACTAAACCGGGACTAGACCAGGTACTTGACCAGGAATAAACCAGGACGACACAAGGTAATAGACCGGGACTAAACCAGGACTAAGCCAGGTACTAGACTGTGATTAAACCAGGTACTAGACCAGGTATTAGACCAGGACTAAACCAGGTACTAGACCAGGTATTAGACCAGGACTAAACCAGGTACTAGACCGAGACTAAACCAGGTACTAGACCAGGTACTAGACCAGGACTAGACCAGGTACTAGACTGGGCCTAGACCAGGACTAGACCAGGTCCTAGACTGGGACTAGACCAGGACTAAGCCAGGTACTAGACTGTGATTAAACCAGGTACTAGACCAGGTATTAGACCAGGTACTAGACCAGGACTAGACCAGGTACTAGACTGGAACTAGACCAGGACTAGACCAGGTACTAGACTGGGACTAGACCAGGACTAGACCAGGACTAGACCAGGTACTAGACCAGGTACTAGACCAGGACTAGACCAGGTACTAGACTGGGACTAGACCAGGACTAAACCAGATACTAGACCGGGACTAAACCAGGTAATAGATCAGGTACTAGACCAGGACTAAACCAGGACTAGATACATTAGAGCCAAGTGCAGAACAATTTTCCTTAATTACGACTCGTTTCACAATTTTATTATTAACAACCACCAAATTAGTCAAAAATCGGGACACCTGGAACATTTCTTGTATAAAACTGGAACAAATCACTGGTTTTGTATAAATCTGCTGGGACAGGGGACACGGGGCTCAAAACTGGGACTGTCAATAAGGTTTTCTGGTCATCAACAAAGCAACATTTCACTAACCCAGACCAAACGCTTCGATAATTGTTGCATTTTTGGCTAAATATTTGAAATTAAATGTATTTTATTTTATTAACAATGAATAATCTGATTGTATCTACATTTGGTTCGTCTTGATTTTGCATTGCGTTGTTTTTGTCCATTAAAATGTAAAATTTGTTCCTGTTTTGGTTATGCAAAAAGCCTTTCGTCCATCTTAGGCAGCAGACTTGGCTTCCATCTAAAGTCATCGTTTATAATTACAATGCTCCAGTTGGTTTAATATTTGTCTTTTTTTTTTATCTTTGCAGAAGTCCAGAGCGTCGTGTCGTGCTGAAATACAGACGCTCTCCCTACGAGACCAGCCCCGACTCCGGTAAGTTCAAAATATTTACACAAAATACTGCGAGTACATTTATTATATGTGTACTAGTGTTGTAGTCAAGACGCTCTAATCGAGACCGAGACAAGACCGAGACCTCTGAGGGTCGAGACTAAAACAAGACCGAGACTTTTAAAGGTCGAGGCCAAGACAAGACAAGACCAAGGCCCATTGAGACTAAATCAAGACCATCTTTGTCATTTTCTACATTTATTTGTGTTTTACAGTTTTGGCACAAATATATCAATGTTTTTATAAATCTATCTCCATTTAATCTGATAAATGTATGCTTTAAAATAAGACACTTCTCATAGTATTAGTAGTAGCAACAGTAGTAGCAACAGTAGTAGTAGTAGTAGTAGTAGCAGCTGCAGTAGTGGTAGTAGTAGTAGTATTAGTAGTAGTAGTAGTAGTAGTAGCAATAGTAGTAGTAGTAGTACTAGTAGCAGCAGCAGCAGCAGCAGCAGTAGTAGTAGTAGTAGTAGTAGTCGTAGTAGTAGCTTCAGCAGTAGTAGTAGTAGTAGTAGTAGTAGTAGTAGTAGCAAAGCAGTAGTAGTAGCAGCTGTAGTAGTAGTAGTAGTAGTAGCAGCTGTAGTAGTAGTAGTAGTAGCAGCTGTAGTAGTAGTAGTAGTAGTAGTAGTAGTAGTAGTAGCTTCAGTAGTAGTAGTAGTAGTAGTAGTAGTAGTAGTAGCTTCAGCAGTAGTAGTACCAGCTGTAGTAGTAGTAGTAGCAGTAGTAGCAGCTGTAGTAGTAGTAGTAGTAGTAGTAGCAGCTGTAGTAGTAGTAGTAGTAGTAGTAGTAGTAGCAGCTGTAGTAGTAGTAGTAGTAGCTTCAGCAATAGTAGTAGTAGTAGTAGTAGCAGTAGTAGCAGCTGTAGTAGAAGTAGTAGCACTCGTAGTAGTAGTAGTAGCACTCATAGTAGTAGTAATAGTATCAGCTCTAGTAGTAGTAGTAGTACCAGCTGTAGTAGCAGTAGTAGCAGCTGTAGTAGAAGTAGTAGCACTCGTAGTAGTAGTAGTAGCACTCATAGTAGTAGTAATAGTATCAGCTCTAGTAGTAGTAGTAGTAGCAGCTGTAGTAGCAGTAGTATAGTACTAGTAATTGTAGCAATAGTAGTAGTAGTAGCACTCGTAGTAGTAGTAATAGTAGCAGCTCTAGTAGTAGTAGAAGCAGTAGTAGCAGCTGTAGTAGCAGTAGTAGTAGTAACAGTAGTAGTAGTAGTAGTAGTAACAGTAGTAGTAGTAGTAGTAGTAGTAGTAGTAGTAGTAGTAGTAGTAGTAGTAGTAGTAACAGTAGTAGTAGTAGTAGTAGTAGTAACAGTAGTAGTAGTAATAGCAGTAGTAGTAGTAGTAGTAACAGTAGTAGTAGAAGCAGTAGTAGCAGCTGTAGTAGCAGTAGTAGTAGTAGTAGTAGTAGTAGTAGTAGTAGTAGTAACAGTAGTAGTAGTAGTAGTAGTAACAGTAGTAGTAGTAGTAGTAGTAGTAGTAGTAGTAGTAGTAGTAGTAGTAGTAGTAGTAGTATTTAGACCTTCTGTCATTACACAAACAGTGAGTTAATCTGCACAGTCGTATCTCGTAAACTGGAGTCGTGCTCATTTAAAGTCGTCGATGAGTTTGTCTGCGAGACAAAAGCCGCGGACACAGAGGGACGTCAATGTCTTTGTGGACGAGGACGGACGAGGACGGACAGAAGAGGACGGACAGAAGAGGAGGACAGAAGAGGACGGACAGAAGAGGAGGACGGACAGAAGAGGACGGACAGAAGAGGACGGACAGAAGAGGAGGACAGAAGAGGAGGGACAGAAGAGGACGGACAGAAGAGGACGGACAGAAGAGGACGGACAGAAGAGGACGGACAGAAGAGGACGGACAGAAGAGGACGGACAGAAGAGGAGCACAGAAGAGGACGGACAGAAGAGGACAGAAGAGACAGAAGAGGACGGACGGACAGAAGAGGAGGACAGAAGAAGGAGGACAGAAGAGGACGGACAGAAGAGGAGGACAGAAGAGGAGGACAGAAGAGGACGGACAGAAGAGGACGGACAGAAGAGGACGGACAGAAGAGGAGGACGCTGGGGCTGGTGCCAGGTTACGACGGCGGCGTAAACTCAAACTACTGTTCCAAAAGTGTGTCAGGAGTAAAGAAGTGTCCACAATCACACATCTGCTCTCAGGACCATCTGTCAGCGTATTTCAAGTACTTTATTGCTACTGTGGTACTACTACTACTATTATTATAACTACTACTACAATACAAAATAAGACATTTCGTAAACCAGGTCTAAAAAAAAGAAAGAAAAAGAAAAGTACAAAAATACAAGATTACCTCCACCTATGTCATCAGCACGGAAAATTTGATCTAAAACACAGGTCTAGTCGAATCATAACTATTGTGCAGTTTAGACAGGTTTTGGATATAAATATAAATATAAAAAATTGGTTATTTGTAAAATCGTAAATATAAGGATTTTACTTATGTCATATGATGTCATATATGTGTAAATAGGATGCTTGGTCATCCTAAATTATCGTATTTTTCGGACTGTAAATCACTCCAGAGTATAAGTCGCACCAGCCAAAAAATTAGTAATGAAGAAGAAAAAAAACATATATAAGTCTCGCTTTTTGGGGGGAAATTTATTTTGTAAAATCAGAGACCAGGGACAGACATTTCCTGTTAAAAGTCAAGTTCTAGTAAAAACAATAGAAGAGAGAAGAACAGACTGTTAACGTCACATATGAACAGTTCTTCAGATAAACTATAACATAAACAACAGAACAGAACAAGTTTAACAAACTCTCCATCTCACTCCAAATCACTAAATCCATTCAATTCTTCATCCTCGGTGTCACTTCTGACAAACTCCTCGACCTCCGGAGGTAAACGTTGCGCCGCTTCCTCTTCTGTGTCGCTGTCATCAGACTCAACATCAGTTCCAGTTAGAATTATTCGGGTCTTTCTGAATCCCGACAGGATGGTTTCGGTGTCACTGAAGTCCAGACTTTGTCCATCCATCCAGTGACTTCAGGAAAGTTTCATGGTGCGTCCTCCAGGTTACCGTGAAGCTGTGTTCTCCATCCCCGCTTTCCACAAGTCGTTCACAAGTTTCTCGCTCACTCCAAACTTTCTTTCTGCTTCTCGATTACCGATTTCAGCTGAATATTTCACGACTTGCAGCAGGACAGAGGCTCTTTCTGCAGGAGACATGCGCAGTAGAGCCAAGTGACAGTGGTACAGGAGGAACAGGAGCAGCAGATACTCACACACAAGACTAGAGCGCCCTCTTGTGGCTGTCAGTCTCTCACGGCTTCTGTGTGAAAATTTTAATATATACCGTATTTTCCGGGCGATTAGCCGCGGTCTTAAGCCTCTAACTCCATCAAAAAACGACCGCACGCCCCGCAATCCAGAGCGCCCCCCAACACGCAAACACACACGGAGCAGACAGCGACCGCACAGCGAAACACACCCGCAGACACACTCATCACTCCACGCCGACGAGGAACGGAGGAACGAACCGAAAAAGCGAGCGCAATGTGCCGCTTCTAGACACGACTGAACAACTGAGTCACTGCGAACACGCCGACAATCCGTTGGTCCCAGACAGCACCTCCCTACACGCCACAACTGAACAAAGCCCAGAGTCACCGTGAACGAACAAACAAACAAAACCACTGATCCATCATGTGGGGAAGCTGGCCCAAGTGGTCAAAATGAGAGTCCAGTGCAAAGTTGTCCTTCACCAAACCAAATTCTTTATTGGATCCTTCCAAGTCGTGGGCAAAATTATATACATATTTACAAAAAAGAACTGTGCTTAACTAAACAAAAGCAACCGAAAATAACGCAACAAAAGAAAATACCCACAGGCACCTGGCTGCACTGATGGTGACCTCCCTACTGATTAAACTGCCTCTACTTATATACCCCCCAGAGAGGAAGTCCCTCCCCCTGGGTTCACACCAACTTACGGGGAAAACTGTAGCAATTTCCTTTCCTTACTGGTGTGCTGCCTTAAATTATTTTCTGAAGCCTAATCCCCCTTTTAAACTGAACAGTGCTCCAACTTAACTAGATACACTGAAACCAAAATTCTAATAACCCATTTGATAAAACAAAGAACCATTTCCGAGGCTTCCCTCCACATGGTCTGGGCCAACACCTCCCCCTGAGCCTATAAATATGGCTGCCAAAGGACACGCCCCCTCTTTTGTTCCCAGACCATGTGGAGTCACAGGTAAAGGTGGTAAGTTTAAACAAAAATGAAGGGATATAACCAAATAAAATGAATTTAAAGTAACTGTGTGAATGTGATCACTTAAACAAAGACTAAATAAAACAAACCCGGGATAGTTATTATTTAGCTGTTTAGTTGATATAGATAGATGTAACTGAACTAAGGTGAAAAATGGGGACAAAGGCCCTCTTTGTCACACATCACACTGTTGTGTTTCCTTTAATGTCCACTGCGGTTTATTTGTAAAAAAAAGTTCGAAAATAGACCATTTAATGACAGTGCGTTTATATAATCCAGAGCGCCTGATAGCCCGGAAAATACAGTAAGTCGCACCGGAGTATAAGTCGCAGGAAACACCCAAACCATGAAAAAAAGTGCGACTTATACTCCGAAAAATACAGTAATAGCTAAAAAAGAGAAAGAACTACACAGACCATGATCCTTTGCTCTGTTTCATTGCAGACTACATGAAGATATAACTGTACTTTTAAATCTTTGGTCTTTGGATTATGATTCGACAGTAAAAATCAGCGTCTTTAATCCTTTCTGTATCTTGTTTTTGTCTTTTCTCGTCCAGATTTTCGTGGTAAAAGCCGCGTGGTCACAAACGGCCGCGAGCGCTGGCGCCAGCAGAACGTGAACGGGGCGTTTGGCGAGCTGCGGCGGCTCATCCCCACTCACCCCCCCGAACGCAAGCTCAGCAAAAACGAAATCCTGCGCCTCGCCACCAAGTACATACACTTCCTGGAACAAGTCCTACAAGTCCAGGACCAGGATCAGGACCTCGACCAGCACCGGGACCAGGACCAGAACCAAGAACTGGAGCAAAACTTGGATCAGAGCGAAAAACAGGTAAAACTCAAGTGGGAATGTTTAGGTTTTGCCATCATCCATATCCCTGTGTCTGGTCCGTGTATGATTCGTTCTTTTGAATTTCAATCAAGAGCGAAAAACAATAAAATGGGAAAACAGTTTATTATTTCGTTATTCAAACAAAAAATAGTTTTTGACCTCTATTTACAATGTTTAATTTAAAGTTTTTTTCACGCTGCTAGAAGGACTCACCTGAAAAATCGTTGAAATTTTATAGCAGCACGTTTACTTCATGGATTTATAATAAAAACTGGATAAGTCATTCCTCCTCTGTCACGGCTCGAAACCAACTAGTGGCTGCTCCAGGTACTGCAGCTCTCGGGAGTTTGGGCCCAGAAAATATTCTCCCACAGAAGCACAATGTATTTTTGGGAATTCAAACTGCCCGAGTTCTGACTGGGCATCCACAACTTTCACAAAGGTTGGATTTTGTAGGATTCTTTTCTATTTTCACAACATAAACTTTTCAAAATATTTAAATCCTCAAAGTTCCTAAAATTTCACATTGCAAGACTTAGCCCAGCCCTGCTCTGAGCCCACGCTCGCTTCACTGTAGGCGCTTTATGTTGTGCATGTTACAAATGTCACACGTATTCAGGAAGAAAATGTGGAAGTGAAAATTTCTTTTGGGCTCATGCGCCAGTGTAGTCTGATTCACCAGCCAGTTTTACTTCGTGGAAATCATCTGACCTCGTAGTGTTAGAATTCGTTCGCTCGACAGTAGGCAGGTACTTTTTTTAAATTTAACCAATCGCTGCTATTTGGTCGTGACGTATGTAATGCGCCGCTAACGGGGATAACTGGTACATTAAGCTTTTCCCAAATCCTGTAGGAAGAAGGACAATAACGTCTTTCCCCTTGATAAAATTCACCAAACATTCTCTTTGTTCCGGCTTTAAATCCTCGATCTCGGGAATCGTTGACAACACAGAATATATGGCTCTTCGCTGATTGGCTGGTGCCCGAGCTTCTGGAATTTTTGCGAACTATCTAGTGTATTCCAATTTCAGACCTAGTTGCTGGAGAGAAATGAAATTAAGCGGAGGCACTAGGCGGAGCCAGCCTGGGTAGCGCCAATGAGCTACTGAAAACAATACGACACCATCTTGGATTCATCTTCCAGATTTTATTATAGTTTTATGATTTATTTTTTATTTCATTCTAGTCATTGTTGAACTCCATGACAAGAAACAGGAAGCAGCGAGGAACTCTCCTTTTGTTAAGTCGACTCTGAATTCACTCGTGGCGCTGAGCAGCTGAACTTCCAGGGCAAATAATCCAAAACCAGAGAGAATAAAATATCAAAAATGAAATAGCAACCGAGACTGATTTTTGATTGGTGTTAATTGAAATAAACTTTAAATTAAATATTGGAAATAGCGGTTGAAATCTGTTTTTTTTAAGATGGTAAAAATCTGATTACGGCGCCTTTAACAAGAGATTTTAAAAGCTGAGGTGTAATCTGAGTCCTTTTTCCTCCTCAGAACCTCCAGGAGATCCAGGTCAGCGGCTGCACTCCGTCCCCGACTTCGAGCTACGACAGCGGGATCGACTGGAGCCCGCGCAGCCTGATGGAGGAGCTGGACTCTGCGGCGCTCAGTTTCAACTAAAAAAAACGAAAAAACAACTCAAACATGTTTCGGTTTTTGTTCAAAGAGCTTCGTTTTCAGAAGTTCGGCCTGACAAGAGAAACATAAAGTATCTGCGTCCAAATGCAGGTTTGTGAATCGGCACAGAGCGACTGAAAATCTGTCTGAGTTTCAAAGAATATGGGCTTTAATTTTTTTTTATTTTTTTTTTTTGATTACGTTACAAATCCCAAATTAACGGGCCTCTGTTATCATGTAGTTTCCTCATCAAAAATAGACCTGAAGTTGTGTTTTTTTCACAAATCCTTCATTTTTAAACTTAGTTCTTTTGAGTTTCTGAGACTAAAAACACAGAATTACTCAAATATTTATGAGTGAAACAAAACACAACTGAAGAACTGTGTGTTTTTAATGAGGTAACAGCGTTTTAACATGTCTAAAAGAGTAAATTTTGCGTAATATCGTATCTTTAAGTACAAAACTTTACTACTAGGTTTACTAAAAGGAAGTCCAAATATGAGTAGAAGAAACACTTTCCACTAGAGATGCAACGATATTCGATATAATATTGAATCGTTCGATACTGGTCTCACGATTCGATACACGTGTCGATACGCACGAGTCTCTCCACGCGCGCTGTGTTAGTTATTTTGGTCCGAAAGAGAAACCATTATCGCAGCGTCCTCCTCAGATGCAGCCAGAAAACAGCTCCATAGGGATTTACAGCTGAAATATTTTAACCGAGGAGGGTTTTATCTTTCACTCACTTTTTATTTTACCTTGATTGACCCAGGAATGACAAAGATATTCACTTTTAAATACTTTAGAATAACTTTTGGCTTTACATCAGCTTTTTCCTCAGACTCTATCTCATCATTTTTAGTTAGAAAACGTTTTGTTGAGACATTTCTATGTAATACAACAGAATTTTAGTGTTCAGAAAAAACTTTGTTTGTATTTACACTGAATACAAATGCTGTAAATGATTGAACCAAATGAACTAAAACACTTAGAAACTACAACTGTACATTAGTTCTGTTGTGTACTCTATTTAATGTAGCAGAAAAAAGTACATGAGATTTTTTTTTTTTTTTTTTTTGCGTCTTAAAACATATCGATTTGTGACTCGTGTATCGAGATATGTATCGGATTGTGGGAAAACCGTATCGTTGCATCCCTACTTTTGAAATAGCGCTAGAATTTCCTCAAGAAAATTAAACCTAAATTCTTAGATTTAAAAAAAAACAAAACAATATTTAACCATTTTGTTTAAAGTGGAATTAAATACCAACAATTTCTTCATATAGAGCTGCTAAACAGGGCGGAGTCTGGAGGACTAAAGGGAAGAATGAAGGAGGACTAAAGGGGAGAGTGAGGAAGGACTAAAGGGAGACTGGAGGACTAAAGGGGAGAGTGAGGGAAGAGGAGGGGCGGGGACTAGAGGACTAAAGGAGGGAGTGAGGGAGGACTAAAGGGGAGAGTGTGGGGGGAGGAAGGGTGGGGTCTGGAGGACGAAAAGGGAGAGTGAAGAGGGAGGAGGGGTCTGGAGGACTAAAGGGGAGAGTGAGGGAGGGCTAAAGGGGAGAGTGAGGGAGAAGGAGGGGTCTGGAGGACTAAAGGGGAGAGTGAGGGAGGACTAAAGGGGAGAGTGAGGGAGGAGGAAGACTAAAGGTTTGCAGGACTAAAGGGGAGAGTGTTCCTTTATTATAATCATATAAGGAACAGTGTGATTGATCGAACATGTATCCACACTTCAAACTCCGCCCCTGCAGCCAGCTCTGTGATCGGAGCAGTCTTTTGTGATGTCACCAACTACTTGAGATTCCTGTAGCCGCTTGAGCCAGGACGCACGCATTTTTATACAGTTCAAATATACTTAATGTGTAGTAAAACTGGCAAAAAAACAAAACAAAACATACACAATTTAGTAGCAAAAGTTGACTTGGTGTTTATCTCCACTTTAAATAACGTTCAAGTTCAAAATCACAAAGAAATGTAGATGAAAATATTGAACATTTGAAACTGTAATTAGCATTTCTTTGTTTCTAAGGTTAAATTTTTTGCATTTCAGTCAAATTCACGTGGAATCTTGCCCTGTGATTTGTGATTTCAGCGGTGTTCAGTCAGTGCCGGTTCATTGTTTTAAATCCAACAGATTTGGTTTTTGCTTTTTAAAGACGGTCTGTTGACGTTTGTGTAGTGACAGAGGAGCGGGTTTGATATTCAAGTCTCTCCCTGTAAATGTTTGTAACTGATGTCCAGAGGTGGGTAATACTCGCTCGCATTTACCCGAGTAACTTTGTAAATAAACTGTACTTTTCAGAGTACTAGAAGCAGGTTTGAACTCCTGTTTGAGTCACGTTTTATTGAAGTAGCAGTAGTACTCGTTGTGCTTCCTCTTCCTCTAGTGACGAAAGGTTTACGTGAAAATATGAAATGATGTGAACATTTGTGTCAATCTGTGTATCATTCGTTTTTCAAAATAAAACCAAAAATAAGAAAATGAAAAAACAACAATTTTCTTCATTATTTGTCTCCAAAACCAAAATGAAAAAACAGATAAAGATTTGTTTTTCAGTTTTCGATTTTGTGTTTTAAATGAATAATGGAAAAAACTTTGTGACTTAAACTGTGATGCAGCACTGAACCAGGACTAAAACAGGACTAAACCAGGACTTAAACAGGTCTAAACCAGGTCTAAAACAGGTCTAAACCAGGACTAAAACAGGTCTAAACCAGGACTGAACCAGGACTAAAACAGGACTAAATCAGGACTGAACCTGGTCTAAAACAGATCTAAAACAGGACTAAAACAGGTTTAAAACAGGTCTAAACCAGGACTAAAACAGGACTGAACCAGGACTAAAACAGGACTAAATCAGGTCTAAACCAGGACTAAAACAGGTTTAAACCAGGACTAAAACAGGACAGAACCAGGACTAAACCACGTCTAAACCAAGACTTAAACAGGTCTAAACCAGGACTAAAACAGGACTGAACCAGGACTAAAACAGGACTAAATCAGGTCTAAACCAGGACTGAACCCGGTCTAAAACAGGTCTAAACCAGGACTAAACAGGACTAAAACCAGGACTAAACAGGTCTAAAACCAGGACTAAAACAGGACTGAACCAGGACTAAAACAGGACTAAACAGGTCAAACAGGACTGAACGGGTCTAAAACAGGTCTAAACCAGGTAAACCAGGACTAACAGGTCTAAAGGACTAAAACAGACTAAGGTCTAAAACCAGGACTAAACAGAAACAGGACTAAACCAGGACTAAACCAGGACTAAAAAACAGGACTAAAGGTCTAAACAGGACTGAACCCGGACTAAACAGGTCTAAACCAGGACTAAAACAGGTCTAAACCAGGACTAAACCAGGTTTAAACTAAAACTGAACCAGGACTAAAACAGGACTTAACCAGGACTGAACCAGGTCTAAACCAGGACTAAAACAGGTCTAAACCAGGACTAAAACAGGTTTAATCCAGGACTAAACCAGGACTAAAACAGGTCTAAACCAGGACTTAAACAGGACTGAACCAGGACTAAAACAGGACTAAAACAGGTCTAAACCAGGACTAAAACAGGTCCAAACCAGGACTAAAACAGGTCTAAACCAGGACTTAAACAGGACTGAACCAGGACTAAAACAGGTCCAAACCAGGACTAAAACAGGTCTAAACCAGGACTAAACCAGGACTGAACCAGGACAGAGACACATCCAAGTTTTTTCTCATTCTCCGTGTGCCGTGTGACTCTGAGCTGTTCGTGTTAAGGATCATTTGCTCCGTCCAAAAGCCCTGCCCCTCTGCTCCTCACTCCACTCTCCTCTCCTCCGCTTCTCCCTTTATTAGTTTATTCCTGTTCTGGCCTGCAGATGGCGCCAAAAACACAGGAGAGCCTCTCACGTCTGCTGCTCTCGTTTCTTCAGACTCAAGTGCAAAGGGAAAACACAGAGACACCGGTGAGGAAATTTACCTGCCGAGTTTAGTTAAAACAGTGAAAATGGCGTTAAAATCCTAAAAACACAATAACGTAAAAATAATCTGTCTTTATTTATAAGTAAAGTGAATATTCTTTTTAATTTCAGTAGCACAATGAGAAGCCTTAGATCAGACATGTCCAAACTACGGCCCGTGGTCTAAATGCGGCCCTCAGACAAATTTTTCTTGGCCCGTCAGACTTCCAGGTGAATTGGCCCAAATGACCTTGCATCAATTAAAAATGTATTTATTTATTTTTTTAAATCTACCTTGATAAAGCTCATATTTAATTTTAGTGTGTGGTTTTAAGAATCTTGTCAAACGTGCACATATTTTATATTTCTACGGCCCTCGATCGGTCCTCCGCTTCATCTGTGTGGCTCCGAAAAAAGTTTGGACACCCCTGCCTTAGATTGTAAATGCAGTTGGCTGATTTATTTCATGAAATGTCCAAATTTAAGTTAACAGTAAGTTAACAAATAAAAAAAAATTTAAAAATGTAATTCAAGTTCTTAAAATCTTACAAACAAAACAGAATAATTTAATCCGGCAATTGATTGTTTAAATATATTCCAGTTTATTGTAAATAGTCTGAGCAAGTTAAAGTGTATTTTGAAGTGTATATTATTTAGCAATTAAAAGTTATTTATTGTACTTTTATTTGTGTAAAAATGATTCAAATGAGTACAGGTTGTATTCTCTAAGGTTAAACTAAGTGATTTTAACTCACAGACAGGTTAAAACGCTTATGACAAGTTTTTTTTAGTGGGATTAAACATGTTGTAAATATAAATTGTACTTTTACACTGATGGAAACAATTGTTGAAATGTACAAAGTTATAAATCATATTGAAATCATATTACACTAGGGAGAATTTTGTCTAAAGGTTTGGTACAATTTACACACAAGAAACAAATTTTCTGAAAAATTAAACACGATTTCAACAAAACAACAAACAAAATAAAGGTGTTTGTCGATTAATGATTTAGAAAACAGTCTGACTTGTCATAAGAACTTTAAATTATCACTCAAACATGAACAAAACACAACTCAAGTCTGATTCCGATGAGGAAATAGCAGAACATTTCAGCTCAGAGGAGGAGCGCGAGGACGGCGGCGCTGAGGACGAGCAGGTGAGCGGTGGGCGGGGCCAGGGCCGGAGGGGCGGAGTTACACAGGTGACCTTCACAGCAGGAGATGGGAGGGATGCAGAGGTTACTCTTCATGCAGCCCTGAGTCACCAAACCTGCAAGAAGACGAGAGATGAGGAGGAGTCGAACCCCCAACCTCCTCACTGAGAGGACACAGGACTCACGAGGACAAGTGGGAGTAGCAGCTGTTTTCTTATTTTCTTCATTATTTGTCTCCAAAACCAAAATGAAAAAACAGATAACAATTCATTTTTTCAGTTTTTGATTTTGTGTTTAAATGAAAAATGGAAAAAAATAAATAAAAAAAGGATAACGGATGTTTCCAGTTTCTGTGACTTAAACTCCCATGCTGGACTTTACCAAAACCAGGACTAAACCGTTTTCAGTCCTGGTCTGGTCCCGGTCTCATTCATGTAATCATCATGTAATCATGTAATCAATCATAATTACCTCACCCCAGCTCCAAGCAGCACTTTTCTAATGAAAGTATCATTCCTCTCTTAGGTGCATCCCCTCACTGCCATAGTTCCCGACCAGAAAAAGGTGTCTTTCCCTCTCCGGGTGGGTGGACAGTCCCTGCCTCAAGTGGAAGAGTTCATGTATCTCAGGGTCTTGTTCATGAGATTCATGAGATTGACAAGTGGTCAAAATGAGTTTCCTCCGCAGGGTGTCTGGGTGCTCCCTTAGAGACAGGGTGAGGAGCTCAGTCACACGGGAGGAGCTCGGAGTAGAGCCGCTGCTCCTCCACGTCGAGAGGAGCAGCTGAGGCTCAGGCATCTGTTCCGGATGCCTCCTGGACGCCCTCAGGAGGTGTTCCGGGCATGTCCCACCAGGAGGAGGTCCCAGAGAAGACCCAGGACACACTGGAGGAACTATGTTTCTGGGTTGACCTGGGAACACCTTGGGGTCCCCCCAGAGGAGCTGGAGGAAGTGTCTGGGGTGAAGGAAGTCTGGGAGTCCCTGCTTAGACTGCTGCCCCCGCGACCCGGCCCCAGATAAGCAGAAGAAAATGGATGGATGTTTTTATGAAGTATGAATAGGCCTTAACCCCCAACCTCTGCACTGAGAGAAGGAGATAAATACTTTATTGATCCCCTGAGAAAAACAATACAGCCGAACACCCAAGCACCCAGTCTTAGCTCCCATGAAGAAAAGCAAGAGCGTCTCCCTGCTCATCGGGGGGAGTTTGTTCCAGAAGCAGCCTTGTCCGAGGCCAAAAGCTCGTAAGTTCAGGTTGTT